TGTTTAAACAAAAACGTTTTAACGTAAGCGTAATTTAATTAATTTGTTTTCTTTTTTCAGGCGTATGACGTGAAGAGTTGACATCATGGTTATAGTCACTAGGGTAAGTAAAAACTGTTTAATCAAATCACTAATCTGAACGAGAATAAAAAGTGCGAACATTTTAAGCATTTTTTAATTTTTTTTTCTCATTTAAAGTAAATTGTAGTAATTTAAATACACTGAAAAAAAATTGTGATGATGGGCTAATATCTTGCCCTTTCTCTATATTTATTTTCAAATGCACATGTGGCAAATCCGAAGCTCTATAACTTACTAAGATCCATGACTTATGAATTACTTCAGCGCGGTAAAAATATTATGTGAGAAGAATTAAGTTAGGAAATTTATCCCTCAGTATAAAAGGAAATGAAAGTAAAATGCAGCTTTTAGTAGAATTTGCTACTAGACATCAATTCCGAATTTTCACTACGCCAACAACATTCCTTCGTAGAAGATTACCATTACGACAAGTACCCTTTTCCAGGAAGTAAAATCTTTATTTAAATAGCCAGGTGAATGACAATAATAAAAAATATTAATTGACTGGTGTCAACTTTATCTGAACCACCAAATCCGTCAGCAATGTCTGACAACAATAAAAAGGCAATCGATTAGACAGCAATTGTTAGATTCGCTTTAAATGGGTACCTGGGACCGTTATTCAAGCCGTGGTAAATTCTTCCCCACTGTATGTACAAATAGTACATCAAATTTTAATAATAAATCCTTAAGAACAGATGCAACGGGAACAGAGTTCTTCAGTCAAGGGTAAGTTAGAGATACTTACCGAAAGCTCCATATCAGAGGAGTTATTTTCGGCGTGTGGACAATTTGCTAGGAGCTTTTGACACCAAATAATATATAAGAACTCATCCTTTAAAAATAAGATTACCACTATTCCAACTCTGATTTTTAATTATTTAAGTAGGTACTTTAAATTTATTAAAATGTATTGACTCACTCAGTACGAAGTAAAGTATTTATGTTCACTTATTTTTTACGATCGCTTTCTAAAAAATTCATTAACAACCTAGTGTCAGAGTATAATTGCAATTATTCCATACCCATGCAAACAAACAGTTAAATAGCCGGTCTGTCAACAATCACAACCTACCTGCTATAAAAATGATACGACCGCTTTAAGCGCAATTTTCATCTGTCACGCATACGTGCAAGATGCAGTTGCATGGCGAAAGAATAACTGACTTCCACCACGATGTAATTAACAATAAAAAAAAAACATTTGAGTTACGATTACCGAAACGATAACTGCTTGATATTTTTAAATGGACACTGTTATGCCGCAAGGAGAACATATGTAAATAAATAAATCGTATGCAAATAACAAGAAAAAGAAAGAAAGTTAAATGTGTACCGTTCGAAATTCAGAGCCAAATGTAATGAAGTTACTAGAGCGGAACTTTCCTCTTTTTATAATTTCCTTCATGGGTCCTTTTTTTATTTTTTTATATTTTGTGTTTCACCTGATAATAATGCTTTTATAAGGCGAAATATTTATCGAGTGTTAAATAAATGGTAGTGAAAATTTCAAAGTTTGTTTCATTGTACTTGTATATATTACCAGGAAAAACAAATGAAGTTTTATAACGACAGAAATATGAAAAACAAATTCAAGAAGAGTTGAAAGGGCAAGTCAGAAGTCAAATTCACACAACTTGTCCAACGTAGGATTTTACTTTAACAATTTGCATAGAAAAAAAGAGAACCAATTCCAAGGAAAAAGATATGCTACTAGAATCGGAAAGAAAATTCACAGGGTAATTTTGACACACTCAACAAGGCGCAATATGTAGCTACTTTGGATAATTGCTACATGCTAAAATATTTGATTCATATTTCTTTTGTATGATATAACACATAATAAAATAGAATCCTTTATATGTTTTCCTTTTTATGAAGAACCTTTTTAGTTTAAAAACCAGAAAAAATAGACTAATGGAAAGACAATATAAAATAAGGCCATGTTAATCAGTGACAGAATTTACTTTAATGTGCTTGACTGAGCGTGTAGTTTTTATGCTAACCATGAAATGTAAATTTTTACTTCCCTATTGCTTATCTAGAATGAATCGTAAAATAAACATTTTTGTTTAAATTTAACGACAAATTATCAAAACAAAATACCAGGACTTAATATTGTTCCAAATTGTAAACGAACCAGTGTTACCTAAAGTTCCACAAATGTGTTTAAAAATAACGCGTTTCTACATTCCACAGAACTTAATTTGAGTTCCATGGATTCCAAATTGTATAAAACATTTTACATAATATATCCTTCTTCTTTAAAGTATGAAGCATTGGATTAACAGTGACAAACATTTTTGCAATTTACGATTAAATGCAATTTGGATTGAAAAAATATCCAAGCTAAGGGAAGTTTCGGTGCCGATGTACTTGTGTACTACGCATTTAATTTTTCACATATCCTCATGGATTTGGGGCGTGCTAGTAGAGTGGTCAGAAACAATACTGGTCTTGCCTCAGCTGGTCGTGTGCGTTTTGCGGACGTCCGGTCTGATGCAAAAAAAAAAAATAGTGAGCTTAACTAGGCAGAATCCCCCAGTTCAGTGTACTAATTATGCTATTGCCCTCCATAGTCGACTGACTGAAGAGCTAAATGTGTAGTTTAATTAATCTAAACACCTAACCAGCTACTCGGGCAGATGACTGGAATGTTTAACCAATTTAAGTACCTGGGTATCTAAATACATATTTTAAAACTATTTGCGAATAGTAATCTATTGAAGGTCTACCTCTACTTCCCTCAGCTCCTGTTTTTGATTTTAAAATATCCTTAACAAGCCCTTTATATCTGAGAAGGTGTCCTACCGACCCATTTCGCCTATTTCTTTTTAATTCCCATAACGCCCTATGTTCTTGTGCTGTTTTTAACACCTGTAAGTATATAATTCACAGAAAAACTGCGTTGGTTTTTATCGAGGGAAGCCAAATGTGCAGATAGAAGGATTAATGTTGTACGTAATCTCATAAAAAGAGTACTTATAACACCTTTGATGGTATTTAAATTTTCGAATAGAAAAGTCGTTAAATTATTAAGGGTTGTCACCTATTTCATTAACAATAATTGGGTACAATTTTTTTGGACCTTTGGCAATAACATATAAGGAAAATTCGACGGTATAAAGTTAGTAGCGGAACTGGGAGTTAACCATCAGCACTTTACTAAAGTTCCAGCAAGGGATCATAACTCAGAAGTAGTGGTTCTTTCTCTGCAGTCGTCGTAATTCTCTGATTGTCGCACCCCGACCAGTAGAGGTAACATGGCACGGTGTATTTTCATCGTTCTTACTGTAACTAGTCAAACATGAGCATTCTGAATACAAGATTTTACTTGAATATTCCCGTTAGTAGCTGATACAAATAAAAATCCAAAAGGGTTCAAAGTTTTATTACAGTGCAATACAATGCTCCTAAAATTCCTCAATATAATGAAATGTATATATTTATTAGTTTTTCAATAAAAAATTATGAATCAGTCGGAGAGCTTTTCTTTGTTTGTCAGCATAATTAACTGCTTCTACATTTTTTTCAATGAATAGAATCATTTAAAAGCCTTCCGTCTGATGTAATTGGCCAGAACCATAACCCTAAGGTCTTTAAATTGGAAATTCTCCGCATTTAACGTTATTTTCCGAGTAGGTAAAGCTATTTTATCCTTCCTTTTGATTGCAAGACTAAATTTTACACTTCTGAAGAAGTCTCACATTACGGTAGCAATTAAGAACCGCTAAACTGACAATTACATTCGTTTAATAATAATGTAGACGGTATGGGGAAGGCATTTTAAACTACCGCAAGATTGAAGAGTTATTACGTAATTACGACAAATGACCACAAATGTCACTGCAATAGTTCATCAAGTTTCTACGCACGCGCAGTTATGTAAAGTATAAATCAGTAAAACGGAATACCCATGGCGATAAGTAATTGAAGTCTAAATGAGATGTAATTTTCTTTTTTAAATAGCCTGATTGACAGATGTAATATTCTAATTTAGTTTACTACAAAGCAAACAACTATTCTTTATACATATTGCGCTTTGATGCCCGAGAAAGAAAATCTAAAGAAATACGAATTTGTTGCATTAAATAGCCTACAGATACATGACTTCTAAGGGCCCCCTTAAAGATCAAATTAATATTAAAGTAATCATGAAAAAATTACAAAATTAATCATTCATTGATTGCACTGAACCACAGTTTTATCGTGATACTGTTATAAAAATAGTATCTAGTAAANAGATATTTAACCGGGGTAAAGATCGACACAGGTAAATATTTTCTAATAATCCTTACAATATCGCTTTTCTACAGGGAGGAAGCATTACATGCGAAGGCAGAGACGATGCAGCAGAATTCGCAGACATCAGGAGCGCCATGAAAGTTCTTCTATTTTCCGAAAATTAAAACACTTAGTATTTGTCACTATTCATTTTAGAAAGACTGGCATGCTATCCTTTTGTAGGTACTTCTAGCAAGAATTAAATGGCCCTATTTCACACTCTACTTCCGTTAGCAAACACAATTTTCATAATCAACAAACCTAAACTTTCTTGATTCACATGAATCAGATTGTTAGCAGACAACAAGAACTTGAACAGTTCCCATCAATGTCACCAATGGCTAATTTATTTGATTGAAACGATAAATACTCGTCGAGCGAGTAATCATCATAATCATTGATGATCCCAGTTTATAATACTATTCTTTATAAACTCATTTGTGAAATTTCATGTCTTTGAATGCGAATGAACACGTACTGCAGCACAAAATGTCAGCATTGATTATAATAATTTGATTACGTAAATTAACTTGGTATAGACGTTTTTTTTTTTGCTTCAATCTGCTAAGAGGACATTCAACCTTAATTACTTTAGAAATGTAGGTAGATAATCGACCCCGCTGTCCTCTTTTAAATTTCGTCCATCAGTTTACACCCCTTTCGATAATAGTAAATTTACGCGTGGGGTAATAAAAGAGCTGAAAGCCATAAAAATCTTAGTACACCTAAACTAATAAAAAATCTTTTTCAGTACGTACATATAATATGCTCTTGCTAATCGTAAGGTAGTTTCGTAATTTGAAAACAAAACACTACTGTGCATTAATCAACGTACAATAAGAGGGGGTGTGGTTCACTGGCCTGAATAACAAGATAATGAAAGAAAGATTTTCATGAATACCTTTTCACAATGGCAAGACGTCATTCGTCGTTTACACACGAATGATTTATGGATTTTGCAGTATTTTACTTTTATTTTTATTACAACTAGGTAACTGGTAATAAGAAGGCATGCGTTTTATGAAATTTAAAGTATTTTTCTTATATAAATATGTATTTCATCCCTAAAAGATGATCTTAAAAAGAGGTTGCTTTCTTTTTCTTGTTTAGCATAATTTTATTGCAAAATGTAGAAAGTGTTCCAACAGTCAAGAAAGTGCTCTTAATGGTTGAAAAAAAAATGAAAATTAAGGTGAAAGTTAATAAACGAAGCTGCTCTAATTACTTAAACAAAAGTTTCTAAAAACCATCAAGACGACGCTAATAATGTTACCTTGTTACTACTTGTTTTATAACAAGTGAGATAACCTACTGTACCTAAAAAAAAGGATGCATTTCTACAAAAATGCCAAAATGTAACAGCTAATTGTTCTGATTTGAAGTACTAAGGCAACCGTTTTATTCTTGCCTTTAAAAAAAATAGCAATTAAAGAATTCAATTTCCTATCTTCATAATCTACTAGTTAACTATTACTTAAAATAAAATAGAGTGTTTTCATATCACTATTTAAGCTAATATACAACTAAAATAAAAAATATATCTAGTGGAAGTCTGATGACAAATTCTTTAAGCGAATTTGACGGTACACTACTTTTTCGAAGTCTTTTAGAGATCATNGGATTTGAAGTACTAAGGCAACCGTTTTATTCTTGCCTTAAAAAAATAGTAATTAAAGAATTCAATTTCCTATCTTCATAATCTACTAGTTTATTACTTAAAATAAAATAGAGTGTTTTCATATCACTATTTAAACTAATATACAACTAAAATAAAAAATATATCTAGTGGAAGTCTGATGACAAATTCTTTAAGCGAATTTGACGGTACACTACTTTTTCGAAGTCTTTTATAGAGGTCATCACGTAAACTTTCACTGGTGACTGCTCCACTTGGGTACAATTAGAAAAAATAAGTCAAAAGTTAGACTTCTGCAAAAACTTCATTGACAAATATTACCTAATTAGTTTCAAAATTAAACAATTTTATTTCTAACATAAAACTTGAACTACATATGTCGTTTTCAAAATAACGATAATTAAGATTTATTAATTTTAAATCAAATACATTAGTCTCCAAAATTTTTGTTAATTGAAAAAACAAAATTCCAAGGAAAGCAATATTAATGAATGCAAACAAAAAGCGCCAGTGTTAACTTTTGATCAAATGCTTTGAACCGGACCAAATTACCAACACTGGGCCAAATATTGACACTGGTACTTGGTTGGTACTGAGCTAATTTGAGCATTGTTTAGCACCTAAAAAAAACATAACAAGTTTGATGTAGATCATCAATCTATTACAGGGAGACTATATATGGATTGAGCCGGCAACTGGCAGCGAATTTGATGTGGCGATAGGGGCAAAGGTCATCTCAGCAGAAGGACGTCGTATCGCGGTACGAAACGACGACGGTGAGGAACAATGGCTTGCTCCCGATCGTCGGATCAAAGCAATGCACTCCACCTCTATACACGGGGTGGAGGACATGATTGGACTGGGCGACCTCCACGAGGCCGGAATACTGAGAAATCTCCTAATACGATACAACGAAAATCTCATCTACGTAAGTGACAAATTAATGATTCAACTTGGCCCATCAATAAAATTGCCACTTTGGACACACCTAATTCCTAACGAAAACAGATAAAGTCGACAAACCACATTTTTCTGACCTCGAATAACATCAGATCACGATATTTAAAAAAAAAAATCATTGTACAACCTGATAGATATTTTTTTTATTCAGACATACACTGGCTCGATCCTAGTGGCCGTCAATCCTTATCAAATACTGCCAATTTATACCGCCGAGCAAATAAAAATGTACAAGGAGAGAAAAATCGGAGAATTGCCCCCGCATATTTTCGCTATCGGCGACAATTCTTACAACAGCATGAGAAGATATGGTCAGGACCAATGCATAGTTATTTCTGGCGAATCCGGTGCTGGTAAAACGGAAAGTACCAAATTGATATTGCAATACCTCGCGGCCATAAGCGGCAAGCATTCCTGGATAGAACAGCAAATCCTTGAAGCCAATCCAATCCTTGAAGCATTCGGAAATGCGAAAACTGTCAGAAACGATAACAGCTCTAGATTTGGAAAATATATCGACATACATTTTAATAAAGACGGGGTTATAGAGGGTGCTAAAATCGAGCAATATCTACTGGAAAAAAGCAGAATTGTTCATCAAAATCCCGACGAAAGAAACTACCATATATTTTATTGTTTACTGGCCGGATTAAGCAGGGAAGAAAAAAGAAAGTTGGAATTAGGGGATGCTAGTCAATACAGATATTTAACCGGGGTAAAGATCGACACAGGTAAATATTTTCTAATAATCCTTACAATATCGCTTTTCTACAGGGAGGAAGCATTACATGCGAAGGCAGAGACGATGCAGCAGAATTCGCAGACATCAGAAGCGCCATGAAAGTTCTTCTATTTTCCGACCAAGAAATTTGGGAAATAATGAAACTCCTCTCGGCTCTTCTGCACATGGGAAATATCAGGTACAAGGCCACAGTCGTCGACAACTTGGATGCCACAGAAATACCCGATCCCACCAACGTGCATCGAGTAGCTAATCTTCTACAAGTTGATGTGCAACCCCTTGTGAGCGCCCTCACAAGAAAAACTCTCTTTGCTCATGGAGAAACGGTGGTGTCCACCCTTTCCCGGGATCAAAGTGTGGACATTAGGGATGCTTTTGTTAAAGGAATCTACGGGCGCTTATTTGTTTTTATAGTGAGGAACATTAACAGTGCAATATACAAACCTAAAGAACGGCAGAGAACCGCTATTGGAGTGTTGGACATTTTTGGTTTCGAAAACTTCAATCTTAATAGTTTCGAACAGTTTTGTATTAACTATGCCAATGAGAATCTCCAACAATTTTTTGTAAGACACATTTTTAAATTGGAACAGGAGGAGTACAATCTCGAAGCCATCAACTGGCAACATATCGAATTTGTAGACAATCAAGAGGCTCTAGACATGATCGCGATAAAACCGTTAAATATAATGGCATTAATTGACGAAGAAAGTAAATTTCCTAAAGGAACCGACCAGACCATGCTTGCCAAACTTCACAAAACTCACGGGCACAACAGAAATTATCTCAAACCGAAATCAGATCTGAACACGAGTTTTGGAATCAATCATTTCGCTGGTGTGGTCTTTTACGATACTCGGGGTTTCCTGGAGAAAAATAGAGACACTTTTAGCGCTGATCTACTTCAATTGGTAGCTGCTTCTTGTAACAAGTTTTTACAACAACTTTTCAGCAACGATATCGGTATGGGATCGGAAACACGAAAAAGAACACCAACATTATCGACTCAATTCAAAAAGAGTTTAGACTCATTAATGAAAACTTTATCGAACAGTCAACCATTCTTTATCAGATGCATAAAACCCAACGAATATAAAAAGCCCAATTTATTTGATCGCGAACTGTGTTGTCGTCAGCTGCGTTATTCGGGAATGATGGAGACCATACGAATTAGAAGAGCTGGATATCCTATAAGGCACAATTTCAAGGACTTCGTCGACAGGTACAGGTTTTTAATCCACGGAATTCCACCATCTCATAAAACGGACTGCAGAAAAGCTACCGCAAAAATTTGCGCCGCTGTTTTGGGAAAGACAGATTATCAACTCGGAAACACCAAAGTGTTTCTTAAAGATGCCCACGATTTGTTCTTAGAACAAGAAAGAGATAGAGTCCTCACTAAGAAAATTTTAATTCTTCAAAAGGCCATTCGTGGTTGGGTTTACAGGAGGAGGTTCTTGAGGCTTAGAGCTGCCACTATGGTTATCCAAAAGTATTGGAAAGGCTATGTTCAACGGCAAAGATACAAACGAATGAGAGTAGGCTACATGAGGCTTCAGGCCCTTATAAGGGCTCGTGTATTATCTCACAGGTTTAACCACTTGAGAGGCCACATTGTCGGTTTGCAAGCCCACGCGAGAGGCTATCTTGTCCGAAGAGAATACGGACATAAAATGTGGGCTATCATTAAAATACAATCGCACGTGAGAAGAATGATTGCGCAAAGAAAATACAACAAGATACGCTTTGAACATAAGAATCATATAGAAGCACTAAGGTTAAAGAAAAAAGAGGAACGGGAACTAAAGGATGCCGGTAACAAGAGAGCCAAAGAGATTGCCGAACAAAATTATAGGTAACTGTCAATTAAATAAAAAAAAAAAATTAATTCAGTGTGTAAAATTGTTTTAGGGAAAGGATGTATGAGCTAGAACGTAAAGAGATGGAACTTGAAATGGAAGAACGAAGACGAGTGGAGATGAAGAAGAATCTCATAAATGATGCTGCCCGAAAAGCAGAAGAGCCAGTCGATGACTCAAAACTGGTTGAGGCTATGTTCGATTTCTTGCCGGATAGTTCAAGCGAAGCCCCAACTTCTGGTAACTAATTACAAAATCGTTATACAATTCATTTAAATTTATTAAAAACCCATACAAAATAAGATGTACAACACACAATGAATATGATATTTCATACAACCTTGACATACAGAAAACGTGTTGATTGCATATGCGAGGAGTACATTATTTCATTTATTATTCATTATTTATATAAAAACTGAGAGCAGACTATCCTTTAGGTCGAGAAACGTCCGTCTTTAACGATTTACCGTCGCAGCCTTCGGATTCAGAAATAATAAGTCCAATGCAAGCAACTTCTGAAGACGAAGAAGATCTATCTGAATACAAATTCCAGAAATTTGCCGCAACATATTTCCAAGGAAACGTTGGACACCAGTATTCCAGGAAACCTTTGAAGCATTCCCTATTACCTCTACACACACAAGGTGATCAATTGGTAAGTCAACAGCAAGATGTAATAAATATTTAACCAACTAGTCTGTCTTCTTCTATTATTTAGGCTGCTCAAGCACTTTGGATAACGATTCTTCGTTTCACTGGCGATCTTCCCGAGCCCCGTTACTCAACAATGGATCGCGATAACACATCCGTAATGTCAAAAGTAACTGCAACACTTGGTCGTAATTTTATTCGTAGCAAAGAGTTCCAGGAAGCACAACTAATGGGGCTCGAACCGGAGTCTTATCTTAAACAGAAACCCCGATCCATTAGACACAAGTTGGTATCTTTAACGCTCAAACGAAAAAACAAACTTGGTGAAGACGTCCGCAAAAAATTACAAGACGAAGAATACACAGCTGACAGTTATCATTCCTGGCTGGAATCTCGACCAACTTCTAATCTTGAAAAGCTTCACTTCATAATAGGACACGGCATACTACGAGCAGAGTTACGGGATGAAATTTACTGCCAAATTTGTAAGCAACTTACAAATAATCCTTCCAAATCATCCCATGCAAGAGGCTGGATTTTATTATCCCTTTGCGTTGGTTGTTTTGCACCATCAGAAAAGTTTGTTAGCTACTTAAGGGCATTTATAAGAGAAGGTCCTCCAGGTTATGCCCCATATTGTGAAGAAAGGTTGAAACGAACTTTCAACAATGGCACTAGAAATCAGCCACCCAGCTGGTTAGAACTACAAGCGACAAAGTCGAAAAAACCGATTATGTTACCCATAACATTCATGGATGGAAATACAAAAACTTTATTGGCAGATTCAGCAACGACAGCTAGAGAACTATGCAATCAACTTTCGGACAAAATTGGACTGAAAGATCAATTTGGGTTTTCTCTTTACATAGCCCTTTTTGACAAGGTGTCTTCTTTGGGCAGCGGAGGAGACCACGTGATGGATGCCATATCTCAATGTGAACAGTATGCAAAAGAACAGGGTGCTCAAGAAAGAAACGCCCCTTGGAGACTATTCTTTAGAAAAGAAATATTTGCGCCATGGCATGATCCTTCCGAAGATCAAGTGGCAACAAATCTAATTTACCAACAAGTCGTGAGAGGGGTAAAATTTGGAGAATATCGTTGCGATAAGGAAGAAGATTTAGCCATGATTGCGGCACAACAATACTATATTGAATATGGATTGGATATGAATTCAGAAAGACTTCTTACGTTATTACCAAACTATATTCCGGACTACTGTTTAACAGGTAAATAATTTACGGTACGATGTTTTATTAATGTACCTAAGTGTTTATTTGTGTATTTTAGGTATAGAAAAAGCAGTAGATCGCTGGGGAAACCTTGTGGTTCAAGCTTACAGGAAAAGTTACTATTTAAAAGAAAAAGCTCAGTCTTTAAAAGTAAAAGAAGACATTGTCAGCTACGCAAAATTTAAATGGCCCCTCCTTTTCTCTCGCTTTTATGAAGCCTATCGCAACTCTGGTCCAAATCTTCCCAAAAATGATGTAATAATCGCTGTAAATTGGACAGGTGTTTACGTTGTCGACGATCAAGAACAAGTCCTACTTGAACTTTCATTCCCGGAAATCACAACAGTTTCCAGTCAAAAAACTAACAAGGTTTTCACTCAAACGTTTAGTCTTAGCACTGTTAGGGGAGAGGAATTTACCTTCCAAAGTCCTAACGCAGAAGACATTAGAGATTTGGTGGTTTATTTTTTAGAAGGTTTAAAAAAAAGATCAAAGTTCGTTATTGCATTGCAAAATTACAAAGCTCCAGGGGAAGGTTCCAGCTTTCTAACTTTCCAAAAAGGCGATCTCATCATCCTGGAAGAGGACAGCACGGGAGAGACTGTCTTAAATTCTGGCTGGTGTGTAGGACGATGTGAGAGAACACAAGAAAAGGGAGACTTTCCTGCAGAAACAGTTTATGTTTTACCCTGTATGTCTAAACCTCCCTCTGACATATTGCAGCTATTTAGTGTAGAAGGTAGTTAATCAATATCCATTACAAGCTGTTTTTAATTTATTTAATATTTAAGGTGCGGATCACGGAAGAAAAATAAGTCATCATTCTCTAAATGGAGTGGACCCTCGTGATAAGCCTCACACTCTAGCAGATTATGCAATCGATCATTTTCGACCTCCACTGAAACGAACTATGTCGAAATCCCTAACCCTGGCATCAAGAAGGGGCTATGATGATTTATGGCGACATTCCCGCGAACCGATTAAACAACCTTTACTAAAAAAGCTTCTTTCCAAGGAGGAATTGGCAGACGAGGCTTGCTTTGCTTTCAGCGCCATATTGAAGTACATGGGAGACTTACCATCTAAACGTCCCAGGTCCGGAAACGAGTACACAGATCACATTTTTGATGGCCCTTTGAAACACGAGATATTACGGGACGAAATCTATTGTCAAATAATGAAGCAATTAACAGACAACCATCACAGATTGTCAGAAGAACGGGGTTGGGAACTGATGTGGCTGGCAACAGGCTTGTTTACCTGCTCACAAAGTTTATTAAAAGAATTGACTTTGTTTTTGAGAACTAGAAGGCACCCCATAGCTCAAGACTCGCTTCAGAGGTTACAAAAGACATTAAGGAATGGTCAAAGAAAATATCCTCCCCACCAAGTAGAGGTAGAAGCTATACAACATAAGACAACACAGATATTCCATAAAGTCTATTTTCCTGATGATACTGACGAAGCATTCGAAGTCGATTCTAGCACAAGGGCCAAAGATTTCTGTCACAACATCAGCCAAAGACTGAATCTTAAATCGAGCGAGGGCTTTAGTTTATTTGTTAAAATTGCAGATAAGGTAACTTTAATGTGTCTACATACATAAATACACCTAATCTTGTTGGTCCAACTTACAGTAAATAAAAATAACTAATTCACCCAAATATATCTCAATAGCAAATTTTGTATACTAATAATAGCAAGCAAATCTTCAAAATGTTTATTGCTATCATGCAAGCAATCGCTATGTTACTTCAATAGAAACATCTATTGTCAATTATTCTTTTTACAGGTAATATCAGTACCGGAAGGAGACTTCTTTTTTGACTTTGTTCGTCATTTAACCGATTGGATTCGTAAAGCAAGGCCTGTACGAGATGGTATAATACCACAATTTTCGTATCAAGTATTCTTCATGAAGAAATTATGGACGAATACGGTACCCGGAAAAGATAGAAATGCTGACCTTATATTTCATTTTCATCAAGAACTACCAAAACTGATAAGGGGATATCACAAATGTACAAAAGAAGAGGCTGCTAAACTTGCAGCACTTGTATATAGAGTTCGATTTGGGGAAAGTAAACAAGAACTACAAGCCATACCGTAAGTAATTTTTAAGATAACACGTCATTCGTCATAATTAACCCAGAGAGACAGAAAACGCGGTAATTTAATAATTTAAATGGCTCAAATGGTGACAAATAAAAATAAGTTTTAATAATTCCTAAATTAATTTTGATAAATATACGTGCGAATAAGTAATTACCTACACTCATAAAAACAATATTTGATAAAATAATGGTTGAATATACATTAGTAATTCTGGTTCATATTAAATATTTAGGGCATTTTTAAATAATCATTTCATCGATTTCATATTTAATAACTTGTAGCAGTAAAAATTGTATTTACCTTTAAGCAGAAACGTTTTCTAACTCCCAAATCCCTCTAGTAGAGCAGCAGCATACTTGAAATTATGTATTTTTTTCCATTTTCAATCTATCATACAAAAAAGTTCAAAAAATTAAAAATAACCGCTACCCGCTATACTCTCACGTATATACTACCCACACACGTAGATTGTATAAGTGGTGGCATATATATCACATTTCAATGTTGAGATAAATTTGAATTGAATTGAAATAGCAGAGTTATTTAAAAACTAAACATCACCAAAACACATTCTAACTATAAAAATATATTTAAGTTTAACAAATATACGTATTTTTATTATTTCATCCGTTACATTCACGAATATTGTTAATACTTTGCGGATCGTCGTCTAGTCGTAAATTTATACTAGTCACTAACACAAAAAGAAAATGGCCACAGACAAATAACAAATAGTTTCTTATCAAAGCTTTCTATGTTTTTACTATTGCATCAAATTTAAATTTAAGAAAATTAAAAATGAACTTCTGCAATGTATGTTTTTTTGCTCCAATATTAAAATTAATTCAAATTCAAAAAAAAAAGAATTAGATGATTGTTTTACTTTTGAGTACATCCACGTACGATATTATTTTACAAAACCTAACTATATATAGGGGTTGTTGAACGTAAAAAATATCAATACGTATTCACAATTACCATAACTTTGAAAAGTACTATTGATTTTCTTATTTAGTACATAATATGAATTAGAAAAACTATAATAAACATTTATTTTAAAATTATTCATTATAAAAACGTATTTACTTCCTTGATTTTTAACCGATTCGTTAATTACGAACTGAGAAAGTGAATTTTATATATTATTTTTTCAGACAAATGCTACGTGAGTTAATTCCAGCAGATCTAGTCAAAGTTCAAAGTGCAAACGACTGGAAACGACAAATAATTGCGGCCTACAACCAGGATGCGGGTATGAGCCCTGAAGACGCTAAAATCACCTTTCTAAAAATTGTTTATCGTTGGCCCACCTTTGGTTCAGCCTTTTTCGAAGTGAAGCAAACAACAGATCCAAACTATCCCGAAATGTTATTGATAGCCATAAATAAACACGGCGTTAGTCTGATTCATCCTCATTCAAAGGTAAATCAAGAGGTTTTTAATTAATACCGTTTTTATTTGTAAGCTAAAGGTTAAATTGGTTATTATTACTACAATAATATAAATCCCTTCTAAAAGAGCCTGGCAACTAAAGCAGCACCTGTGTTAGCTTTTAGTCATATAAAAAACAAATAGGTACCTTAATAAGTCCCTTGTGTAGCATTTCAGACTCTTCGGTTAGTAGCAAAAATCAGTAGATGGCGACTATCGTATCTGAACATAAGCAACTATTTGAAATTACGATTTTCTATATTTATATCTACATAGCAATTTCTTTATTTATTTCGATCCTATTATAATATACATATAATAATACGTGATTAAAACGCGCACGAAAAAGTTTCGAGTTCCTACACTATCGTGTGTATAGTACCAAATAAATGGTACAGGAGACTAAATTCAAAACAGGGATGTTTTAAGTAAAATCATTAAGTGAGGCTTGTGCAACCAGGCATTGAGAAGCTCTGGTTAACAACTAATTTAAGTGGAATTTATTAATAACCGATTGATGACTACATACAATTAGCTCATTTATGTAACTTGCAATTTTATTAATGCGAAGTACAACGAAATGAAGGTATTGCAAAACAGGAAATGTTCTTTATTACCATTTTGTAATTATCAGCGTGAGAAGTAATCCACATAAGACAATGTCGATTTTTAGAAATGTAGATAATTATAATTTAACAACGGTGGGAAAAATTGTACGTTCAAAAAATGTTTGACTACGTACACAAATTAATTACCATTACAATTAATATAATGCAGAATAACAGAATTAAATTAATTGAAGGTGATGAAGTGTGTTTCGTGGTAGTTAAACGACGAAACTAATCTTGCTTACTTTTTGTCTATACAAGTTCAATAAATAATTAATTTTAATTTGCAATTGTTAACAGAAACGTATTGTAAAGGGGAACAGAATACCAAAAATAAATACCAATAATCTACTACTCTCCTACTTCAATTATAAAAATGATGAATTATTTACAAGATTAAACAAATCTTTAAGTTCCTGAAACTTTCAGCTTTACGATAAAATATATACGTATTTTCAGGATATCCTAGTCACTCATCCCTTCACAAGAATTTCAAATTGGTCATCTGGTAACACATACTTCCATATGACGATAGGAAATTTGGTACGTGGTTCGAAACTCCTCTGTGAAACATCACTCGGTTATAAAATGGACGACCTCCTTACCTCATACATATCCTTAATGCTCACAAACATGAATAAACAGAGAAGCATGCGAATTAAATAAATAATTGTACGTTATTTAATTTGTAAAAACATTCAGTATTTACTTAAGTCCGTCCATTTTTAATTATATTTATAANCGTTATACAATTCATTTAAATTTATTAAAAACTCATACAAAATAAGATGTACACCACACAATGAATATGATACTTAATATAAGTATGATATTTCATACAACCTTGACATACAGAAAACGTGTTGATGGCATATGCGAGGAGTACATTATTTCATTTATTATTCATTATTTATATAAAAACTGAGAGCAGACTATCCTTTAGGTCGAGAAACGTCCGTCTTTAACGATTTACCGTCGCAGCCTTCGGATTCAGAAATAATAAGTCCAATGCAAGCAACTTCTGAAGACGAAGAAGATCTATCTGAATACAAATTCCAGAAATTTGCCGCAACATATTTCCAAGGAAACGTTGGACACCAGTATTCCAGGAAACCTTTGAAGCATTCCCTATTACCTCTACACACACAAGGTGATCAATTGGTAAGTCAACAGCAAGATGTAATAAATATTTAACCAACTAGTCTGTCTTCTTCTATTATTTAGGCTGCTCAAGCACTTTGGATAACGATTCTTCGTTTCACTGGCGATCTTCCCGAGCCCCGTTACTCAACAATGGATCGCGATAACACATCCGTAATGTCAAAAGTAACTGCAACACTTGGTCGTAATTTTATTCGTAGCAAAGAGTTCCAGGAAGCACAACTAATGGGGCTCGAACCGGAGTCTTATCTTAAACAGAAACCCCGATCCATTAGACACAAGTTGGTATCTTTAACGCTCAAACGAAAAAACAAACTTGGTGAAGACGTCCGCAAAAAATTACAAGACGAAGAATACACAGCTGACAGTTATCATTCCCTATACACGGGGTGGAGGACATGATTGGACTGGGCGACCTCCACGAGGCCGGAATACTGAGAAATCTCCTAATACGATACAACGAAAATCTCATCTACGTAAGTGACAAATTAATGATTCAACTTGGCCCATCAATAAAATTGCCACTTTGGACACACCTAATTCCTAACGAAAACAGATAAAGTCGACAAACCACATTTTTCTGACCTCGAATAACATCAGATCATGATATTTAAAAAAAAAAAAATCATTGTACAACCCTAAATAAAAGCACGCGCAGTTATGTAAAGTATAAATCAGTAAAACGGAATACCCATGGCGATAAGTAATTGAAGTCTAAATGAGATGTAATTTTCTTTTTCAAATAGCCTGATCGGCAGATGTAATATTATAATTTAGTTTACTACAAAGCAAACAACTATTCTTTATACATATTGCGCTTTGATGCCCGAGAAAGAAAATCTAAAGAAATACGAATTTGTTGCATTAAATAGCCTACAGATACATGACTTCTAAGGGCCCCCTTAAAGATCAAATTAATATTAAAGTAATCATGAAAAAATTACAAAATTAATCATTCATTGATTGCACTGAACCACAGTTTTATCGTGATACTGTTATAAAAATAGTATCTAGTAAAATTAAATTATTATGAAAAGCAAAGTTGTTATATTGTCTGTTAAACTTATTATCTAATACTTTACCAAGTTATTCTAGAACTAAAATTCATGCAAAATCAAAACTCAGTATAATAGTAAAAAATTAAAACACTTGCTATTTGTCACTATTCATTTTAGAAAGACTC